TTCTTACCTCTTTGACTACTTCATTTGATCTTCTAAAGAAGTCTGATGAGAAGATGGCCCAATAACTGAACAGAATTGAGGACCTGTGCTCTGATACCAAGCAGAAAGTTGAAGCACTGCAGGCTGTTGACAAAGAAAAGTACAACAAGCTCATTCTATTAGAGACCAACACCAAGAACATAGCCTCTCATGTGGAACATCAACAGAGCTTATTGGACACACTGGCAGAAGTCACCAACTTGATACCCTCTACTGTTGAAGATCTTGGCAAGGCCCACTCCTCATAATTTGAAAAGATTTTATTTCTCCTCCAAGACCTGCATGATGCCAAAAAGGGGGAAGAGGACTCCCAACTCAACAAGCTGCAACTTGCAAGAACCTCAACTCATGGATCTCTTCCTGTTGATCCTGCACCCTACTTTGAAGCTCACATTAAAAAAAAAGCAGATGGCATACCTAGGCCCCAATCTCCTCATAAGAAGACTTCTAAGAATAATAAGGCCTTGACCTTCACTGAATGGAGAATGGGTGGATCTCAGAAGATTGACAGAGATCAGTTTTAAGAAATGAAAAAGAAGATGACTCCTACACAACAACAAAATCTCTACATGGACATTGATGGAAATGTAAAGGTTAGAAGTGGAGGATCTCTGGAAGAAGCAGAACACTAGTATAATAGGAAGGTACCCGCAGGAAAAATAGTTCATGAGGCAGTTCTACATTATCTGAACTGTAAGCCCTCTCCCTCATGGGCTTCCCTTCAAGAGACTAGAGATCTTGTTGTGATAAGAGGAAAAGTGAATGAAGAACTCAATTCCATAGATGCAAGAGAAGCTGCAGCTCTCGCAGCAGCAATAAGGGAAAATGTGTAACAGAACATCCCTCTACTCTATCTTTCTCCTCTGCATAATAAAATTACTCAAATGATTATCTCTTATCTTTTGTTACTAACGGTTCCCTAATTTTGTGTTTTGTTTGCTCTACTTCTGTTGTTTTTTTTCAAACTCTTACTGCTTTCTATGCAAGTTGCCCACCAAGAGCGAAACATGGAAGTTTTAACTTATTAATTTTTATGGTGAAAGGCACTTCTCTGAAAGTAGAATAAGGGTTTTGGCATCATCAAAAGGGGGGAAATTGTAAGGAATAATTGTATTTAGATTCTGATGATGCTAGACTGATTAGAATATTAGAGTACCCCCATTAGAATTTTGTATTAGAATTGTTTTCTAAGTGTAAGCACTTTGGTATAATCGACTGGACAGAAGACCCCCAGGTCCTCTGTTAGCCTCTATCATGACAGAAATGCTCAAGGCCCTCTTTGACTGCCCCTCTGTTCAAGCACACCAGAAGTCCTCACACTTAGCTATTTCCCAAGCAACCTAAGCCGGTTAAACCAACGGGATATTCCCTAACAGCTAGGAGCTCCTCAACGGAAAAGCTACAGGACATGCCATTTAATGCTCATTTAATGAGCTCCATTCGCTGGGATATTAAAGCTGATGATTGACCGAGATTCCTGGAGAATATCTTCCCAATATAGCAAGTCACCAGTCTTGCAGGTCCAACCGGTCAACTCTACAGTACGCGCATTTAATGCAGTTGTCTCCCTCCTCCAACGGGAAGATAACCCTAGTATATATGAAAGAACACGAAGAAAAACCGGATAACTTTTGCTCTCTCCACAACATTCAAACAAGCTTTCTTGAGATCTCAACTTCATCTTCCTCAACAAGAAAAGCTTTACGTTGGAAAGATAATATTTTCACATCTTCATATTTCAACAAAGAGCAAAGTTCCTCCAGTTCTTCAACACTTCAAACACCTCATCTACACATCTTTTGTGACGAAGCAAGTTGGAGAAACCTCTGTTTTTACAAAGCAATCTTCTTATCAAATAAGGACGTCAAAAGTAACTGGAGTACTGAAGTGGGGATACTTCAAGGAAACGCAGTGAAAGGACCAGTCTTAAAGGAAGCAAGGAAGTGCATCCAACGAGACATCTACACTTGAAGGAGACGTGGAGAGCTTCTTAAGTGCTAGAACTAAAGCTGTGTAATCTGTGTTTTTACAAGCTTAGTGGAATAACGGATTAGAGGAACACGTTGTTCCTTGAACCACTTTAAAAATCCCTGGTGTCATTTACTAACTGCTCTTAATAATTGCATTTACTTTCAACTGATTAACTCAAAAGACTTGGTCTCTGTGTTCAGCAGAACTCGTCTTGTGAGTTAACAGAAGGCCTACTGCCTTTGCATCTGTTTGAGGCTAACCGGACAGAACCCCTACCAGAAGACCATTCGCTGCCAGTATGTTCCTCAACAGAACAGGCTATTCTGTTAAAACTGGTACTTAGCTTTTAAAAGTTAAAAACCAGTACAGTCTATTCACCCCCCCCCCCCCCTCTAAATTGTACCTTGTATAACCGGGACCAACAGATGGGGGCCACCGTCTTATGTAGGACGATCGTCCCCTCAACGTTGTCTTGCTCGGTTCACGGTCGGGTTCGCCCATGCCCTTCCAGGCTGGGGACTACCGTCTTATGCAGCACGATTGGCCCGTCAGCAACATCGTGTCCAGTTCACGGGCGGGTTCGCCCATGCCCTTCCAGGATGGGGACCACCGTCTTATGTAGCACGATCGGCCCCTTAGCGCCATCGTGTCCAGTTCACGGTCGGGTTCGCCCATGCCTTTCCAGGATGGGACCACAGTCTTATGCAGCATCATGGGGCCCTCAGCGCCATGGTGTCATCACCACGGCCGCTGCCATGGGCCGCCCCCGTCGCCGTGAGATTATCATACGAAGACTAGTTTTTTCCTCCATGGTAGAGTGGGTTGTAAGGGTTCTGGGGAACAGAACCAGGCCCACTTACCTTTTCCTAATCAGAAGGTCGCAGGTTCAATAGCCCCCCAGTCTCGTACATTGCACTCATACATTGCACCCATACATACATTCATGCATCACATGTCATACATTCATTCAGACATACATTCTGTGTCGCCCTTTCCGCGTCATTCGGATGCTATGTGTGAGCCTTTAAGGTCCTCGGGTAGAAAAATCGGGCTGGAGTCCTTTTACTCTCGCCTGATATAGTCAGGGGAAGAATGCCCGAGGAAAAACATCCTTCGCTGAGGTAGTCGAGAGGGAGAGCGTCTTACCGGCATCTTATGTTCACAATGGCAGACACCACTCATTTAGTGAAGACACATATGTGAGAAAGACAAGGGAAGATCATGAACAAGGTTATAATTTCTCAAGCAGATTCGCACGGTCACTACTCAAGAAATTGAAGGACTTGTGTTGAGATATATTATCCCGGTCTACTACTGTTCAGGAGCCCAAAACATTACCCCACTACGGAGCTCGATCACAGAGGCTCATTTTAGCCATTCCGACCCACTCGGTCCGCTTTGGCCCATATGGCTCATTTTTTGGCCCACTTGGCCCATTAGGGTTGTTGTGCACCATCCCCTCTATTTTCTAAAAATAGGGGGCTTCCCTCCTATTTCGGGGGATCCCTTTTTAGCTTCTCTTGGTCTCTTTTTCCTCTATCTCTGTCACGCCCCGGACCTACCCGGACACGTCAACAACCCGCCGTACAGTATGAATTGTCAACCGCAGTTCAACACATTCATACAATACAAGGCGTCTGGAATATCATTCACACATAGTACATCCAGAAACAAACATAATGTAAAAACATTCATTTAAGTAGTGGAAAGAATATTACAAGTGTTCAAGCCACACTTGGCATAACTAGGCATACAAGCCTCCAAAATAATTATTCAGAAAATAATATCCATGAGCATTACTTGAATTGTTTTCAAAACAGAAATGGAAGAAGCACGAACCACGTCTTCTTCCTTTGATCTTCCCGAAGCAACGGGCAGTGGCAGCAACCTTCAAGTTCTACCTGAAACTGTGAGGTGGCCTCCCCCGTGAAGGGGAGGTGAGTACTTGGAAGCATTTGACAAGTACAATGACAACTATACTATGTATAATCAATGTTTCAATTTCTAAGACCCTCAATCCAGGGTGATAATATATTATAGGCCATAACCCTCGGTTACCCCTTTTAAAATTTATACTTACTGTATATAAAGTCAACTAGTCGGCCCGTGGACCCATATTCATTCAGAATTTACCATTTTAATTCCCCGTGACTACAAGTCACGACAACCCCATAGGGTTCCCTCGAGTCCTGATTGTATAGCTAGGGCTCGGCCCAACTACATTTCTATACAACCCGTCAACTCAATTTAACACATTAAAATTGTATGGCAAGGGCTCGGCCCAACTACGTTTCCATACTAACCTTAACTTCGTGGCAAGGGCTCGGCCCAACTACGCTTCCACGAAGATCACAAATACATGGCAAGGGCTCGGCCCAACTACGTTTCCATGCTAATCACATTACATGGCAAGGGCTCGGCCCAACTACATTTCCATGCAATCCTAGAGTCCGACTCTAATTTATTTTCATAGTCCAATTCTCAAGCAAATACTATGCCTAGACTCAATTCACTTGGGTAGCCTAAAGCCTACCCCTAATACACCTTGGTGTTCATACAATTCGACCCTAAAGTATCTCTTAAGACTACTTAAGGCATCTCCATTCACAATCCTATCTCTTAGGATTAATTCCATTATTTATTTACATTAATCTCCCGACTAGTATTTCAATACTAGTCGGATAATCTTAGAACAACCAAGTTCTTAATTCATAGTCGAATAAATCATCTCAATGGATTTTCCAATCCAAATATGATTAAATCTCAATATCAAAAATATCACTTTTATCCATTCATGAATTCCTTACATGAAATAAAAGTATATTTTATCACAACATTTTCATAGTTAATTCCATTATCATGCCATTTCTTTCATATCACATAATCATACACAATTTCTTCCAAATTTGTATATCATGCTTTATTTACTCACATGCAATAGTATTTTCATTTAGGCATTATTATCTATTAATAATCCATGAAAATCACATTTAATACATTAGGTAATCTTATGAAATTAACTCACTAATTATAAGCAATATAGTCAGCCATCCTCACCTCGAATGAGCTTAAAGAAGTTCTACCCTTCTCGGTAGAACTTCGGCGATACTCCGGTGAACTCCGGCGAAACTCCGGCGAAACTCCAGCGAAACTCCGGCGAAAGTTAGGAACACTTTAGTCAAGCTCCTAACAAGGTTTTATCATCACAAAACCCATATCAACACAAATAACCCCTAAAAGGTTATTTTCCGACGAACTGGTCATTTGGCTTCTAAGTCCGTTCTTGGACTTAGAACTACCTTCCAACCCCTTGTTTTACACTTCTAAACATGAAGAACAATCCTAGGGGTCCTCAATATGATATATGTTAGTACCCAATTTTGATAAGATTTTGATGATGCCACTATACTTAGCACATGTACATTGTGTCTCATTTTGTTCTAGTATTAACGTGACAAATTAAATGTACAATTTTTTAGTCTAAGAAATATTACCGGAAAAGTAAAAATGCAATAAGCTAAAATTTCTTTACCTTAATAGGATACTTGAATCCTACCGGCAAATACTGTTTGACTCAAAAATTATTCGTATGTCACGAAGCTCGAAATATTAAATGGATAATTAGAGAAAACATTGACCGACATTTAATGCCAAATACGTACTAGGGTCCGGAGCACTGAAGATGCACATAAAAGAAATACTTCAGCAATCAATTGAAGACAAAAATAGACGGAAGTTAATGCTAAAACAGGTACATGGACCTACAGCATGGGCGCACAGTCTGAATCCTAAAAAGGTATCAACAGTGGCTAGGCGGTCAAGACAAAAGAACCCATATGCTCCGAAGAAGAAAATAAACAACAAGTTGTTTATCTTCTGCGAACAAATTCAACGCACAAGATTGATCTATCCTAACCAACGGATAAGATCAATTAACCGGAGAGCCTATAAATACAGGCAGAAACGAAAGTGTCTAACCAAGCTTTGAGCATCCAAAAGAGAGAATTTCTATCACGAGCATTCACGAGATATCTAGCAAAAGAGAAAGTGTTATTCTAAACTTTACTCTCTGCTTGGACTCATGCTTCATTAAACTTCCAGTATACAAGCTCTTCATTACTAAATCATAGAAGTTTAGTTCCTAGTTGGAGGTTAGAACTTTCTTGTAACAAATCACATATTGTTGTAAACACTTAGGAGAACAGTTGTTCGGATCCTACAGTGTAAGTAGATAGATAGAGTACCTTTTGATCCCCACTGGTTGATTAGAGAAAAGTCTAAGGACTGAGTAACTTTGAGTGGTGCTATACTCATCGTGAAAAACCTTCAATCTAGGCCTGAGTGTTGTAAAGGCTAGATTGGCACTAAATGTATTGGGTTTAATACTTTAGTGAAATCCATCTGAAAGAGGGTGGGACTGGACGTAGGAGGATTACACCACCTCTGAACCAGAATATATCGTGTGTTGATTTCATTTCAGTCAACAAAGCACACACCCAACACTTCTCACATAAAGATTGTAGTTTGCCGGCAGCATCCTAAGCAGTTGTCTTAATTGACCCAACTGCTTATCCTACTCCTTCATTACTCACTTTCTTTGAGATCAAATTCACACCTTTAACGTGCACCAACATCACTTGAAAGGATCACTCTATCAGTTCTCTGAAATTCACCTTCTAAGTACAGCAGGTGCCTCAGCAGGTGCCTGGAATCCACCCAACTGCTGAGCCCTCTGCTCATATATACTTACTTCTTGTCAAACATCTCAAAACTCACCAAATTACCTTCATCACACAAGCTGCATTTCCTAAGCAGTTGCCTCAGCAGTTCCCTGCTCTTAGCCACCTGCTAAGCCAACTGCTAGCATTCTAAGCCAAATACTCTCCAAGTTAGAAAGTGGCTAAACACTCATTACATAAAGGGTAAAGACTTCTGTTGTGCATCTATAAATCTCTCAAAAGTTTATAGATCAACTCTTTTAGAGGGAAAACTTTTAAAAGTCGAAAAAGATTTAAAAGTCTATTCACCCCCCCCCCTAGACTTTTAGCCTATCAGGGACCATCAAGTGGTATCAGAGCGGAGTGTTCCTAGAGTCATTTATTGACTATTTTGAACTAAAGATCCAAAGCCACTTCACCTCCCAAACACTTTCTAAACAATGGACAGCCAACTAGCCAAGAATCTCCTGTTCAACTTAAACAAATTTGATGACTAGAGAATCGGAATGAAAGCACATCTCAGTGCTTTACATGATGAAATGTTTGAGGTAATTACTGATGGACCTATCAGAATAATGAAGGTCAGCATATCCAAAACTGATGACCAGGAGGATATATACATTCCTAAACCAAAATTGGAATGGACATCTGAGGATAGGAAAATGAATAATCTTGACAACATTGCCAAAAATATTCTCTTTAAATCTGTTGATGAGTCCATATTTCCCAGAATTAGGAAATGTGAAACTGCAAAAGCAGTATGGGAAGAGCTCACAAAGATCGGAGCAAGTGATGAACAAGAAAAGGACAACAAGCTGACCATAGCCCTCAAGAAATTTGAGGACTTCAAAATGTTGACAAATGAGTCTATTCATGAGATGGAATCCAGGTTCCTAAAGATTATAGTAGAGGTTGAGGCCTAGGGAAAGATCTATCCCAAAAGGAGATTTCCCTTAACGTCTTAAGAGGCCTGCCATCTAAGTGGGACATGAAGGTAACTGCTATGAGAGATAGCAGAGATCTCAGAACTTTGTCAACTGACAAACTCTTCAGTGATCTCAAGGCCTATGAATTTGAAATGAAGGAGATCAAAGAAGAGAAGGAAGATGAGTCCAAGACACTAGCTCTAGTGTCTGAGCCAAGCACTTTAAAATCTGCTGAAAAATCCCTCAACAATCTCCTCACTGACGAGCAATTCGCTATGTTTGTAAGGAAATTTAAAAGATTTATGAAGGAGGGAACTGCTCCAAAGAAAGCATACAATCAGCCACCTAGAAGACAAGGGAGACCTCAACCCAGCGAGGAGACTGTCTTGTGCTACAACTGTAGACAGCCAGGAAACTCATGTTCTCTTGAATGCTGAAAATGATAGACTGAAACAAGACATTAAGATAATTCATTCTAAATTACTAGATGCCTTAAGCAAAAATGATGTCTTAGAAAAGGAGAACAAAGAGCTTAGAAACTCCAGCACAAATAGTAAAAATTCTTACCCTACTGCTGAAGTTACTCTAAATAGGAAGAGAAGAGATCTTGGTTACTCATCCCCCACTAGACTCACTCAAAACTGTACATCAACAAGCCACAAATCATACACAAGAAAGCTCACTTACCAAAAAACCCATCCACCAAATGTTCCCAAAAGAAGGAATCAACCTGCTTCTAAACCAAAATACAAACACCTATATAAATCAACATCCCCTCACCATCTAAACCAAAAACCATGTTGGCAGCCAATAAATAAGACCAACCACAGCCAAAATATCAAGCAGACTCCTCAAATCAATAATTCACTTCCCACTTCGAAAAGGAAGAGGATTAACAAGTACATAGCCATTCCTTTTGATTACAACACCTCAAATGGCTATAGACCAATCCGCTTAGAACTCAATGGTTCTAGATGGGCATGGATGCCCAAACTTATACAAGGGAAGTCGCCCACTAACTTGTGGGCTACTGCTCAACATTAATTTATACAGGAAGGTGTTGGAGCAGCTGAAACACAAACATGGTACATAGATTCAGGCTGCTCCAGGCACATGATGGGCAGCAGGCGGCTCCTGTCAAACTTTACAGCAAGGGAAGGACCCAAAGTAACATTTGGGAATGTGGAAAAAGAAGGAGAAACCAAAGGAGCTGGAGACTTATCAATTTGGACTTACAATCCAAAACATATCCTATGTTAATGGTTAAAAGTTCAATCTCATAAGCACAAGCCAGCTCTGTGACAATGGCTATAATGTTACATTCTCCAAAGACATCTGTTTGATTAGAGATGTCAAAAATGACAAAATTGTGCTCACTGGTAGAAGGAAGAAGGACATGTACATTGTTGATTGGAGCTCTGCAAAGGAAGGAATCTGCTTAGTGACAAACGCAAATTCAAACTTAAGTTGGGAATGGCACAACAAATTAAGCCATCTAAACTTCATGACAATCAACAAACTGTCCAGAAAAGGTTTGGTGAAAGGACACCCTGAAATGAACTTCAAAAAGGACCACCTCCGTGATGCTTGTCAAAAAGGGAAACAAACCAAGGTATCATTCAAATCAAAAGAAGTGGAATCGTCAACTAGGCCCTTAAGCCTACTACACCTTGACTTGTTTGGACCAGTTGAACCAACAAGCTTAAGTGGTAGAAGGTACACCCTGGTTGTAGTTGATGATTATTCTAGATACACTTGGACCATATTCTTAAAGAAGAAGAATGAAACAGAGAAGAAACTGCCAGAATTGATGAGGCTAATTCAAAATGAGAAAAGTCTCTCAATTCAGAAGATCAGGTCAGATAGAGGTACTGAATTTCTCAACTCCATCATAATTCAGTATTGTGGAGAAAATGGAATCCATCATCAAACCTCAGCAGCAAGAACACCTCAACAAAATGGTGTTGCTGAAAGAAGGAACATGACACTCAAGGAAGCAGGAAGGACAATTTTAGAAGCAGCTGGATTACCCAAAAGATTCTGGGCAGAAGCAATCAACACGGTTTGGTACACTCAAAATAGAAGTCTTATTCATAAGATTCACAAAAAGACACCATATGAGCTATGGAAAGAAAGGAAGCCTGATGTTAGTCATTTCCATGTGTTTGGATCCAAATGCTTCATCCTAAACAATGGAAAAGACTATCTCAAGCCATTTGATCCCAAATCTGATGAAAGGATCTTCCTGGGCTACTCAACAACTAGCAAGGCATTCCGGATTCTCAACAAAAGAACTCTGGTGGTAGAAGAATCAATCCATGTGGTATTTGAAAACCACCCCACTGCTCGAGTAAAAGATGAAGGTGAGTCATCCAAATCAAGGGACACTGGAAAGGCTCCAAGCTGCCTTCTAAATAATAAAAAGGATGGAAAAGCAGTTGACTCAAACGGCAGCCCACTGCCAACAGTTGACTCAACTGTCAGCCCACTACCAGCAGGTGACTCACCAAAAGACAACCTTCCAAGCACTCATGACATTCCCAATCTTCCTATTCTACCAGATGATAGTGAAGAAGAAGAAGAGGAGGAGGATGATGAACAAAAAATCAATCCAAAACAACCACATCTGATGTTAGATGGTTGAGCAAACATCCTCCTCACCAAATCATTGGAAACATCAATACAGCGGTTCGTACCAGATCAGCAATTCAGAGAGAAGCACTATTCTCATGCTTCATCTCTCAAATTGAACCCAAGAAAGTTGAAGAAGCCCTACTTGACTCAGACTGGATACAAGCCATGCAAGAGGAACTCAATCAGTTTGAGAGAAACAATGTATGGGAGCTTGTATCCAAACCCTATCATCAGCATGTGATAGGAACCAAATGGGTGTTCAGGAACAAAATGGATGAGGAAGGCACCATATTCAAGAATAAGGCAAGATTGGTAGCCAAAGGCTACTGCCAGGAAGAAGGTATAGATTTTGATGAAACCTTTGCTCCTGTTGCCAGACTAGAAGCTATAAGAATCTTCTTGGCCTATGCTGCTCATAAGCAATTCACAGTCTATCAAATGGATGTGAAAAGTGCCTTCCTAAATGGTCTACTAGAAGAGGAGGTCTATGTGGAGCAACCTCCTGGTTTCGAAATCAATAGAGAGAAGGATCAAGTCTACAAATTGCATAAGGCTCTTTACGGACTCAAGCAAGCCCCAAGAGCATGGTATGACACTCTCTCTGAATATTTAGTGAAAAATGGATTCACTAAAGGCAAAGTAGACAAGACTTTATTCAAAACTGAAGAAGGTCCCCACATATTGCTTGTTCAAATCTATGTTGATGACATAATCTTTGGAAGTTCAAATCAAGCATTATGTGAAAAAATTTCAAATCTCATGCAAAGTAAATTTGAAATGAGCATGATGGGAGAGTTGAATTATTTTCTGGGATTACAAGTGAAGCAGACTCCAGATGGTATCTTTATCAACCAAGCTAAGTATATAAGAGATCTCATGAAAAAGTTCAAAGTTGAGAACAAGTCCACTGTGAAAATTCCCATGAATACATCCCAAGGTCTAAGTCAGGATGAAGATGGCAAAGATGTTGATCCTACACTTTATAGAGGCCTAATTGGTTCCTTGTTATATCTCACCACTAGTAGGCCAGATATATCCTACTCAGTTGGTGTATGTGCAAGGTTTCAATCAAAGCCCAAAGAAAGCCATCTCCTAGCTGCAAAGAAGATATTGAGGTATCTAAAAGGCAATCCTAACTCTGGATTATGGTACCAGACAAATGGAGGCTTTGACCTCTATGGATATTCAGACTCTGATTTTGCCAGATGCAAAATTGATAGAAAAAGTACCTCAGGTACATGTCAATTGATTGGTGGAAGACTTGTCTCTTGGTTCAACAAGAAACAAAATTCAATTGCTACTAGCACTGTTGAAGCTGAATACATAGTTGCAGGCAGTTGCTGTGCTCAAATCCTATGGATGAAACAGCAATTGAAGGATTATGGAGAAGAAACAAAGGAAATCAGCATTTTGTGTGATAATACAAGTGCTATTGCTATCACTCATAATCCAGTATTTCACTCAAAAACCAAACACATTGAGATCAGGCATCACTTTATTAGAGAGCATGTTGAAAAAAAGACCATCAAGCTAGAGTACATTCCCACTGAGAAGCAGTTGACTGACATATTCACCAAGCCACTGAATGAACCCAGATTCAATGAACTTAGATAGGAGCTTGGAATGCTAGATGATCTAGATCAAGTGAAGGAATAGCCCTCCACCCATTCAGGGGGAACCTAATTCCAAAATCAAGGGGGAATTCCTAGCCACCTGCTGAGGGGGAATTTCTGTGAAGTACTCAGAAGTAGGCACCTGCTAAAGGTAGGCTACTCAAAACATCAAAGGAATGAAGCATCAGGGTCCAAATAAGTCACTGTCAGGATATCAAGATCAAAACGAGTCAAAATGCACAAAGGGCACCTGCAATGGCCGCGATCATCTCTGGGACTCCACACAACTGGTACAGGTACGTTTTTAAAGAACTTGTGAGATATGTCAACAAATCTCACAAGGACAGAAAGGAAGATGGTACCCTACCATTGCTAGGGTATGGGTTCCTGATTGGAGAAATTCTCAAAAGAAAGGGCATCATAGGGAAGGTCAAAGAAGAAACCATCCGGAGGAAATTCCTCCATCAAACCTCAAAGGCAGGAGCCCCCAAGATTCAAAAGGAAGACCCCACTCTTCACTCTCATCAACCTCTTCAAATAGAATTCACGAGGATCAAAACAAAGCTAGCCAAAAGACCATGATCTGGGTGTCAAGAAGCCAAATCAAAGAGGCCAAGAACAGCAACAAGGAATCTTCAAGCAGAACTAGAAGAGGCAGCTTCATCCTTCCTTCCCGAAGAAGCAGAGGCCTCTCCTCTTACCATTATACATGAGGAAGCAGTCGCCTCCCCCTTAGCAATAATTCAAGAGGAAGCAGAGGCCTCCGCCGGTTCCTCAAATGGAAGCAACAGCTCTGCTCTCCCCCTCTCCATACATATTCCAAGAATAACTCAACAAGAAGAGCAGGTGGCTCTCTTACTAGAGCAGGTGGCTAACCCACAAACTGAGAAGACCACTCAAATAAGCGAGCAGGTGGCTCCCCCAGAGCCAGAGCAGACTCCTCCTTCACCAGCAGTGAAGTCACCCAAAATAACTCCCTTAGAGCAATTGGATGCAGACTTTGAAAGGGTCAAAGCATGGCGATCCTGGAAGCTATCAAGGATCCTTCTTCAAGCAGACACATTCTCCCATTTCATAGAGGAAGAAGACTTCGTCGTGGAGTGGCTTGGAACTGATGACATGGCCGAGGCTACAAGACTTCACACAATCAACCAAGTGTATGCCTTAAAGAAAAAGAACCTCACAGCCAAAGATGCAATCGAAGACTCAGACGATGATGATCTGGATGATGATGATGATGATAATAATGCTGACAACGCACCCAAGGGACCACCAAGATCAAGAGGTAAGAAAATCGTTTACTCCTCCTCCTCTAGTGATAAAGAACTCAGACAAACCCTTGAGAAATCAAGGATGGAAACTAAAGGAGGTGGGGAATCCTCTAAGGCACTCCAGAAGCTGTTGGTTGCTACTATCCAGTAGGGGACTGCTATGATAGATCTCAACTTGGAACCCCACCAAGATACAGCACCTGAGCAGCCTGCCACATCAAACGAAATCAAAAATCAAATTCAGCATAAGGATGAAGAAGACACTCCAACACTAGCAGAGGTCTTCATCAACAAAAGAAGAGCAACCACAAAATTCATAAGCAATGCTGAGGTTCGCCTACACAATAGACTCATCAAAATGCAGAAGCATTTTGATGAGCTGCTAGAAATGAGGTTCGCTGAAGTACACTACCATCTAAAGAGCAATTTGATGATACAACAAGTATTCAACTCAGAGCAGAAAGCTCAGCTCAACATCCAACTCTCAAACCAACCAGCTCAAATGGAGGCGATTCACAACGAACTTGAAGCCTTGAAAGCCAGGGATGAAGAGCTGGAAAATCAAATTGTAGAATCACTGAAGAAACTAAGGGAAAAAGAGCTAGCAGTGGCCTCCCAAGCAGCAGAGCCCTCTGCCCAGGTACTTCCTACCATCTCTTTACCTCCTAATCTCGAGCAGGCCTTTAAAACAATCCAAGAGCATGAGGAGTACATCCAAAACATGAGGACCAAGGAGCTTCCAGCCATGCTTCATCTTTCACAAAAACTGACAACAAAGCAAGTGGAGCACTCAGAATCCATTGCCAAAACAAGAGCAGATGTTTCTAAGCACCTCACCAACTTACACAAAGCCACTCAGGATGCCTTCCACAGGCAGGCAGATGAACTTCGAAAACTTGGCCAACGCCAGCAAGAAACGGCTGAAAAGCTGGTCAAATTGGACAAGGAGGTCAAAGAAGAAGTCAAGATTGACTTAGTGGAACTCCGGAACACTGTAGTAGGACTATCCATCGAAGTCAACGACCTATACCCAAGGCGAAAACATTAAAAGGAAGTTGCTTTGGATCCTGAACTAGAAGACCTCCTTCAAAACATCAAGACCCCTACTGATGCCAAAAAGGGGGAAAAGTCAACACAAGCAGGTCCCTCCTCCAAAAGATCACTAGCAGCACAGAAAGGAGCAGAAACAAAAAGAAAGAATCAACTCTACAAAGAAGAAGCTGAAATCAGAAGAAGAAAAGCAGAAGAGGCCAAAGCCAAGGAAGAAGCCAAGAAGAAACAAAAAGAAGACAAGCAAGAGTAGGCTAGATCTTAAAGTCCGAAATTGACTATAAACTATTGCACTCTAGAAATAAGAACAATGTACAAAACTTCAAAGAAAATCAATAAAAATGTTTGTTATTGTGTTGTATAGTTTTGGCATCATCAAAAAGGGGGAAATTGTTAGTACCCAATTTTGATAAGATTTTGATGATGCCACTATACTTAGCACGTGTACATTGTGTCTTATTTTGTTCTAGTATTAACGTGATAAATTAAATGTACAATTTTTGAGTCTAAGAAATATTACCAGAAAAGTAAAAATGCAATAAGGTAAATTTTCTTTACCTTAATAGGATACTTGAATCCTACCGGCAAATACTGTTTGACTCAAAAATTATTCGTATGTCACGAAGCTCGAAATATTAAATGGATGATTAGAGACAAAACATTGACCGGCATTTAATGCCAAATACGTACTGGGGTCCGGAGCACTGAAGACGCACATAAAAGAAATACTTCAGCAATCAATTGAAGACAAAAATAGACGGAAGTTAATGGCTAAAACAGGTACATGGACCTACAGCATGGGCGCACAGTCTGAAGCCTAAAAAGGTATCAACAGTGGCTAGCCGGGCAAGACAAAAGAACCCATATGCTCCGAAGAAGAAAATAAACAACAAGGTGTTTATCTTCTGCGAACAAATTCAACGCACAAGATTGATCTATCCTAACCAACGGATAAGATCAATTAACCGGAGAGCCTATAAATATAGGCAGAAACGAAAGTTTCTAACCAAACTTTGAGCATCCAAAAGAGAGAATTTCTATCACGAGCATTCACGAGATATCTAGCAAAAGAGAAAGTGTTATTCTGAACTTTACTCTCTGCTTGGACTCATGCTTCACTAAACTTCCAGTATACAAGCTCTTCATTGCTAAATCATAGAAGTTTAGTTCCTAGTTGGAGGTTAGAACTTTCTTGTAACAAATCACATATTGTTGTAAACACTTAGGAGAACAGTTGTTCGGATCCTACAGTGTGAGTAGATAGATAGAGTACCTTTTGATCCCCACTGGTTGATTAGAGAAAAGTCTAAGGACTGAGTAACTTTGAGTGGTGCTATACTCATCGTGAAAAAACTTCAATCTAGGCCTGAGTGTTGTAAAGGCTAGATTGACACTAAGTGTATTGGGCTTAATACATTAGTGAAATCCACCTGAAAGAGGGTGGGACTGGACGTAGGAGGATTACACCACCTCTGAACCAGGATATATCGTGTGTTGATTTCATTTCAGTCAACAAAGCACACACCCAACACTTCTCACATAAAGATTGTAGTTTGTCGGCAGCATCCTAAGCAGTTGTCTTAATTGACCCAACTGCGTATCATACTGCTTCATTACTCACTTTATTTGAGATCAAATTCACACCTTTAACGTGCACCAACATCACTTGAAAGGATCACTCTATCAGTTATCTGAAATTCACCTTCTAAGTACAGCAGGTGCCTCAGCAGTTCCCTGGAATCCACCCAACTGCTGAGCCCTCTGCTCATATATACTTACTTCTTGTCAAACATCTCAAAACTCACCAAATTACCTTCATCACACAAGCTGCATTTCCTAAGCAGTTGCCTCAGCAGTTCCCTGCTCTTAGCCACCTGCTAAGCCAACTGCTAGCATTCTAAGCCAAATACTCTCCAAGTTAGAAAGTGGCTAAACACTCATTACATAAAGGGTAAAGACTTCCGATGTGCATCTATAAATCTCTTAAAAGTTTATAGATTAACTCTTTTAGAGGGAAAACTTTTAAAAGTCGAAAAGGATTTAAAAGTCTATTCACCCCCCCCCCCCCCCCTCTAGACTTTTACCCTATCAGAGACCATCAATATATAAATCTTAAGGTAGATAAGAAGTAGAGGAAAAGTTAGTAGGAGGTCATTACCTTAATTCCTCACACTTTTTCCTATCTTTTTCCTTCTTCAACCTTCTTTCTTTTTCTTGTTTGAGCTATGACTTGAGTTTGGCTATGGAAGATGTAGCTTGCAGAGGCCTCCTTCTTCTCTTGGTGAGCTTTGGTCGAAATGTAAGGGGTGGGGGTGATTGAGAATGCCATTTTGGCATTTCTCACAATAATGAGATGATAAGGTCCCACCCTCATTAATTTGTTTGCTCCCTAAGCCAATTTTCCTTTATTTCCCATGCACAAATGCATCCCTCCTAAGTACTTGAATGGCCAAAAAAACGTTGGTTGGCCCCCACACATGTGGGAGGTCACCCCTTTGAGTCCAGAAGTGTACAATCGGTCCCGAAAGTTGTATTTTTCGGACTGTTTTATTCATATTTAATTTTATCGGGCCAAATAAGATATAACACACGTTCCTAGTTATAATAGGACTTTAGAATAGTTGTACATTCCCCAACTTTAATTTTGGAGTCTCCGAAATTCATTTCGGACTGTTATCCGGTAAATTACCAATAGTGGTATTTGGGCCTCATTTGACCAACGAGTCAACTCTATGCTCTTTCTATGGGCCTACTAAAATATCTACCATCATATACATATCATCTAGACTAAGATGAATATAATATGTGATCCTGGACTTATCGGGCGGTCCCCGTTCCCGGTGTGGGCCCCACGTGAAATTTACTATTCACGCAAAAGAAAAAATAAAAATTCACAATTTCGCAAATTCGTGATTGGTTCATCAAGGTTTATTACATAATTTGCTAAAAAGTAAATGTGCTCGGGGACGGTGCTACAATCTCTCTAGACTAGCTCAAATACTCCATTAATGGGAGCACAAGTTGTACATTGTAATGGTGAGGAGAGTATTAATGAGAATGTGAGGGCTTGAACATTAGCCTGAAAAGTCTCGTGGTTTTCTCCCTTGTTAGGAATATTTTATGGTGTCCAATCTAATTAAATATCTTTGTATTTGTGTAGTTATTAGTTAAACGTGTAATATGGGCCACAAATGTATATCAGCCCATTAGCTTCTTTGTAATCCATAAGTTAGCCAACTTCTCCTATAAAAGGAGGCTAACTTATGGAAACCGTAAGGATTAAAAAGGCTTAAGAGCATAGAGGCGAGATAGAGAGTAGGTTTTCCGCTGCTCTCCTTCTCGAGGGAGAGCAGCGGCCATTATCACGGTATACCAGATTCGTTGTTCATCTCCATATCTTTCTATCTGCTTCTTCTTTATCTGCTACGATTGTTTGATTGTTAAAGATCAGGGCTTATCAATTGGTATCAGAGCTGATGCGTGAAAAAGAATGAATTCATCTGCGATTTTTCGGACTTGCTGTTTGGAAGACTGTTTTTCATAAGATTTTCTAAATCTCGATTTTTGCCTTTGTAATCCTGTGTTTGGTCGAAACATTGTAAAAGTTATACTTTTAGAATCGCGTTCTCGAAATGATTGAGCAGTATATCTTCTTTTTTGACATCTGCAAGTTTTTATTTTTGAAGATCTCGATTCTCAAATCTCGTGATCATGCTTTTTGAAGGTGTTTCTCAGGATTTCGCGTCGAATTTGATACAGTAGGAATCTTGAGATCAAGGGCTTTCCAAAACTGTTTATGTTTTTTGAAAAATTCGAATTTTTCAATTTGAAAGATTTTGATATTTTGAAGGATTTCGATATCTTGAAAGAAAAGATCTCGAGATTCTGGATTTTAAATGACAAGAAAGATTTTGTTGTTTTGAAGATTTCGACATTTTAGGAATATCTCGATGTTTTTAATCTTACAAAGTTTGGAGTTTCTTGAAACTCAGAATTGTTCGAAGCTTGATATTTTTTTACAGTTCATCGAAACTTTACATTATAGAATTTTTGGATGAATCTCTGCTTTTCAAAGTTTTTAGAAGTTTTCGATGTTTTGATGTTTTTCAAACAACAAGTACTCGATATTCTGAAGTTTTGAGGTTTTGTTTTGCAGGTGGATTTCGTCATTGTTCTTCGAGGCAACCTCGACATTGAGATCTTGAAGTTTAAACCTCGAGATTGAGATCTCGAAGTTTAAACCTCGAGATCGTGATCTCGACGTTTAAACCTCGAGATCGTGATCTCGACGTTTAAACCTCGAGATCGTGATCTCGACGTTTAAACCTCGAGATCGTGATCTCGACGTTTAAACCTCGAGATCGTGATCTCGACGTTTAAACCTCGAGATCGTGATCTCGACGTTTAAACCTCGAGATCGTGATCTCGACGTTTAAACCTCGAGATCGTGATCTCGAGATTTAAACCTCGTGATCGTGATCTCGAGATTTAAACCTCGTGATCGTGATCTCAAGATTTAAACCTCGAGATTGCAATCTCGAGATTTAAATCTCGAGATTAGGACTTCGAGGTTTTGCCTTAGAATTTTCTCTAAATTCACCTGATCTCGATATTCAAGATCGAGAAGCTCAACTTCGAAGAATTTCCTCAAAAACTCAAAATTCGAGATTTTCAGCGACATCGCACTGTTTTGGCCATAACCTTTGACTCGGTGATCCGATTTAAGCGAATCGTATGTCGTTGGAAAGCTAACGAAAAGATCTACATAACTTCCAGGGGTTTACTCCAGAAACTCAAACCACGCGCCCTCACTCGCGGTTCTTGAGGGAGTTTTTGTTCGTTTTCCGAGATACATTGTCAATCACCGATGTAAAGGCCAAAAGTTAGGCAAATCTGTTCAATTTCTTCCATGTCTAGTCAAAGGTCAAAGATTTTCAAAACTTCAGTCTAAAGGTCCGAAAATCGTAGATAATTCAATCAACCTCGCGTCAACAGTCATTCTACAACAATCAACAATCAACTATTGAAGCCTCCCTTAAGTCATCAACAATGTGTGATCATCAATATGCTGAAATTCTAAATGATGAGCTTAGTGAAACCGCCATTGTGGTACATGTTCAGATTGCTCCACACGCATGGCGGGTATGACGAGCTATGAGCAATCAATCCCTTCACATTCTGAGGGGGGGTTCAGTTTTCTCCTCCTGATGCCTTACACCGACAAAGCAAGGAATCTCTCAAAGGATGCAACATTTTAGGGGGGGTGTTCAATGTTATCCTCCCTGGTGCCTAACAATGACAAAGCATACCGAGTGCTCCAGTTGAGGGGGAGTACAGAGAGAAAATCAAGAAACAAATGAGAGATCATGACCCTATGGTTTAGTAAATTCAACTAAGCCTACCCAAGGGACAAAGCCAAGAGTAAGTGAGTGAGTGAGTGAGTGAGTGAACATTATGAGCTTTAGGAAGTAGAAGGCTCAAATGAGCAAGAAAACAATAATCAATGATGAGTCTGCTACCTCAACTGCCTGCTATGAAGTGAACATTTACTCCTAGCCACTCAAATACTCTGGACTATCCCCATAGGTTCAGGACTGGTTTAATCAGATCCTGGATAGAAGTCATTGCATCTTGTCCAACAGTGCATTCTTAACCCTACCCAAGACCACTCATTTGTCTCCCAACGGACAAATGTTTAATCATATTTCATGGGGAATCGCATCTCTCATTATTGTCTCCTTCCGAGGAAAGTGATACTGACTACAGTGGCCTCAGCCCCATGCCACTGAACTTTCATTGCTCACGACTTGCCTAGTTACCTCACTCCCAAATGTTTTGAAATTTCTAGGACACAGACGCACTTTTTGAGTCAGTTACAGGTCTACATGACCCACTAGAACTTCCATAGGGCTCATCTATTACAGATGTAGACCAATGAGTGGAAGGAAGTCCTGCTGTTGCAACATAAGAATCGCCAACATTTTCAGGCCATTGCTTTAGAGTTTATCTCTATAGTGATGATAACGGGTGTCTACACGACCCTAGGGGCTACGTTATCTATACTGATCTTTATGATCATGCAAATAACAACCAGAGTGACATCTTTTGGATGCTTCACAATACCTGGTTGGAAGTCCTGTTAGAGCTTTAATGTTTCTATCATTTTATACAGGCCACACGTCAGTGTTTACATTGATGTTGTGATAACGGAACACCATGGTGTCTCCAGTGTTTACCTTTCTATTTGTTTTTCTGTTTTATTTCCCAGAATAAAAGAATAAATAAGGCATGACGCCCCGATTCATCGGATCGTCATGAGGGGGAGAGTTATCGGCATGTTGTTTACTCAAAAATCATTCTCGGACATTTCCTTCCTCCACCACAAAAATCAACGACAACTCTCTACTTCTCAAATCATCAAGACTACCAAGTCAGCTTCACATCAAATGGTCAGCTACGCTCACAAGTCAACCATTATTTTCCACTGTGCCACTGACAAGCTCTCCTCAAAAGCATTCACCTCAAATAGTCAAAAAGACTACATTGTAGAGAAGACAGAGGTCAGGTAATCGAATCCCATGTGCGTCTGCAATTCTTCAAGAACATTCATTCTAGAGGCACCTTCGGATTTGCAGTCAAGCTGATCATGAGTAACTTCTGGAAGGCAAGGATTACAAGCAAGATTTTCGAGATTTCTCAACCTCCGGCATCAAAGATCAAATTGCCAAGAAAACATCAAAGGGGAGAATGCAAGGATTTCTTCAGAAAGCCTTCTCAAGAAGTCAAGTTCAAAGACAAAGGAAGCTGAATAACAACAAAGACAAAGATATCTGCTCTGCAATGCTGATTCAACACGATTTAACACCAAGGGGGAGATCGTTAGAAATATTTTATGGTGTCCAATCTAATTAAATATCTTTGTATTTGTGTAGTTATTAGTTAAACGTGTAATATGGGCCACAAATGTATATCAGCCCATTAGCTTCTTTGTAATCCATAGGTTAGCCAACTTCTCCTATAAAAGGAGGCTAAGTTATGGAAACCGTAAGGATTAAAAAGGCTTGAGAGCATAGAGGCGAGATAGAGAGTAGGTTTTCCGCTGCTCTCCTTCTCGAGGGAGAGCAACGGCCATTATCACGGTATACCAGATTCGTTGTTCATCTCCATATCTTACAAGCTTAATACTGATGCTAAGTTCTCACCTCAGTCGACAACGGGAGGGGCGATTCTGAGAGACGTGGAAGGAAGACTTGTTTTGGAAACCTCATTTTTGCTTGAAGCTTCATCTCCTCTGAAGGCTGAGTTGCGTTCAGCGATACACGCTACAACTTGGGCGATTGGAGAGGGGTTCTCAGATTTTCAGGTTGAGATGGATTCTTCTGAGGTGCTAAAATACTTCAGGGATGGCGGTGTGTCAAGATTAAAGCATCACTGTTCAAAGCTGGAGCCATTCCTAACAGTCTAGCCACGTGGATAAGAGGAAGAGCGAAGATCCTGCTGGCCAAGGAATAACAAGCTGATTGGTTGGAGTAGTTAGGAGAATAACTGATCGGTTAATACTGTTATATAGTTGATAGCTATAAAAGGACAGCCATGTAGTGTTTTATGCTCATGAAATGAATAATACAACTTCTTCCTCTCTACCCTTCTCTTATGAATTCTAGTTATTCATTTCTATGTGTTGTGATTGAATGAGTTACATGTTCTTTCATAACAATTGGTATCAGAGCAGCTTAAATTCTTCTGCACATTTGATCCGATTATGGCCAAACAAAGCAATACAGATAGAATTACGAAGTATTATTTAATTCAAATTTTGCTACTTCCTCCGTCCCGCTAACAATGAGACAAGAGAGAGTGACACACAGATTAATAAAAAGTGGTTTATGTTGTTGATATTGAATTGTTAAAGTAAGAATAAAGTAAGAATGATTTAGAGCCCACAAACTTTACCAAATTTGGTATGGGACAATCTTAGTGCGACAGACCGATAAGGTAAAATGGAACAATCATAGTGGGACGGAGGTAGTATTTTATAGAACTTTTAGTATAATTCAGGAATATGTAAATTAAATTTTATAGTTCCAAATATAGAATTATCAGGGACCTAGAAGTTTAATTTGCTTTGTCTTCAATCAAGTCTCAAAATCCACAATGTAACTATTATTTTTGGACAGATGCAGTATTTTATATCAAAATTGTCCAATCACTAGTGGAAAAATATTGAGAAAGTTACCACTAATGTTACGTTAGTGATATATACTAATATGTTTTTCAAGGACATGATTATTAATGTTTTTTTACTAGAATGATATCACTCATCTTTGCATGTATTAATATTCATTCCTATTTTTTAGTCATGACCGTATTCATGATTCATCTGTATCAGTGTCCCTATTTTAATGCAACTTGCATAATTAAGGACGTTTTTACTCTAACAGAAGTAGTTTGTGGGGCCCAGACCAAGCAAAAAACTTTCAGTCCGAATGCAAGTTGCATATAAATATGAAGATTGATGCAGATGAATCATGAATACATAATTGCTGGAGTTTAACTCCAACTACAAGAGCTAATAATCTACAAGAGCCGATGAAATTTCAGCAGCGTAAGGCCGTATTATTATTCTGGAATTCAGATCCTTAGTAGGATGTGTACATGAAGTATTTATAGACCTTAGGTTTTAGTGTTCTAGTATTGTAGGAGGAAACTGATACATTTAATACAAATAATTATAATAGAGTCATGTAATGTCTCGGACGTTGTGAAATCAGTTTCCTCCTACAATACTAGAACACTAGAACCTAAGGTCTATAATATTTCATGTATTAAATTATAAATTATGAAATTAAGTATGTACTAAATCCTTCCTCAAATTATAAAGTGTCCAATGATTACTCCTCCATTGATAACCACACATCATCCACATGTGCGTCATTATCAATAGACCATACATCTTCCTCCAACATTTTGTGTGCAAAACTTTGTTGGAGATTCTCCTCTAGCCTCCACCATTTTATCTTTGCCTCCCTTTGTACTATAACTCGTCTCCTCTTTTCACCTTGAAAATCAAGCACAAGCATCCTATGCTGGGTGACAGCACTCTCACCGGGGATAACCTTACAATCAGTGTAGCTAGTTCTCCAAGTCGTCTGTACTAGAAAGTAGTCAATTTGGGTACTATTAGCTCCACTTCTATAGGTGACAAGGTGAGAGTCTCTTTTCTTGAACCAAGTGGCAAGTGTTCATCACAACCAACTCATATGCCGAGGCAAAATCGAGAATGTTCTTCCCCGCTTCATTTCTAGTGCCAAAACCATGTCCGCCATGGATACTCTCAAAACCATCATGACTTGGGTCCACATGCCCGTTGAGGTCGCCTCTTATGACCAGCTTCTCTCCCCTTGGCACTCGTGGCACCACTTCCTCAAGATCCTCCCAAAATTGTTGAGTGATAGATGTGCATCTAATCTCACTTGGGGTGCAAAGGCACTTACCACGGACACGATCTCATCTTCTATAATCAACTTAATGCTCATGATGCAATCGTTCTTCCTAAAGACTTCAACCACACCCTCAACATAATCATGTGTCACCATAATGTCTACTCCATTTCTATTCCTCTCTCTCCCCGAGTATCACAGCTTAAAACCTCCGAGATTAATCTCACCTACCTTTTCTCCAACCCACTTAGTTTCTTGCATGCACATTATGCTGATATTCCTCCTATTCATAACCTCGGCTATCTCAGATGATCTTCCCGTAAGAGAGCCAACATTCCAAGTCCCAAAATGCAATCTAACACACTGCCTTCACTTCTTCACACCACATCAACCCCTACCATGCCCTTGCATATTTGACACCATCCTAGGGCATTGGAGTGGCTCGTCCCTTCCGGGCGATGACCTAGCAGTCTTAGCATTCTTATCACCACACCTAGGCCTATGAAGTGTAGCGCGCCCTTACTCATTTGACACCACTCCCAGGCAAAGGGATGACGCGTCGCTTACGAGCGATGATCTAGCTGTAGCGATATTCATATTTCAATTCATGTCATGTGATGTGACTAAGTGATACTGTTGGCCATCACGCACCTACCACAGCACCCCCTCCTTTATCCTGGCTTGGGACAGGCATGGCGCCATATTTGTGCCATAACCATCACCATCGACTAGGTGCCGACTAGTCATCCTGGCGTTGGGGAAGGGGTGTCATGGTTACTCAACTCGCCTGGAGCTGCCAAGGCGTAACTCGGCGTCGACTAGACGTAACTTGGCGTCGACTAGGCGCCATGGAGGCACCCAATGCCATGGAGGCATGAATCACGTGGCGATGGTGATGGCGCAAATATGACGTCGCCACATGACAAAGAAAAACTACAAAACGAATTATAGACTATAATTGATCAACCCAACCACCAAAACATGATAAAAAAGTTGAATAACAACATTCTAACCAAAACATGTGAAGTTAAAACAGTTTAAAGTACTTCCAAAAACATAATATTCAAAAAAGTTTCATGTCTTGCAAAATATGTTAGGATTTAGGCTTGTTAGCTTGTTTTTGTTTGATGATTATGCCATAATTATCATCAATGGCATATTCCTTTGCGGCTCTGCCTCTTCGGTTACCTCTGTAATAACATGCAAATGAACAATGAGCATCATCTAAAGTAAAACCTTCATCACCCTTTAACTTCATAAAGTAAATGATAAACACAGAGTTGTAAAGTAAAACCTGAACATCATCTCAAGATTCTCAACTAAATTAAAGTATCAATTTAAAGTGAACAATGCACATCATCTAAATTGTAAATTGATATGTTAACTGTGATAAATTGATAAAGACATAAAGTAAATGATAAATATTAAATACAGAGTTCTAAAGTGAAAACTATATCAGCCTTTACCGTTTAAATGCTTTGAGTATTTAAATTATCATTTTAAACTGAACATCATCTCATTATCTCAATTCTGAACTAAATTAAAGTATCAATTTAAAGTGAACATCATCTAATTTCTAAACTAAATTAAAGTATCAATTTAAATTTTAAACTTCATCAAATATCAGTCTTTATTTTATTAAATTGAGTAGCTTTGACTTATACATTTGGAGAGTTAAGTCTCTAATATTTCTGTAATCTTGCAAGAGAATTAATTGACAGCAACACACACCACTGGTGTTATTTACATCAATCTATGAGCTGTTCTTAACAAAGTTTTAGCCAAGAAATTTTCTCACAACTGTCACAAGAATGTCTTAAAGTGTGAGGCATGAAATGTACTGGTTCAAATCATAATTTGGTATCAATGCTAAAGTATCAATTTAAATTTTAAAGTGAACATCATCTAAAGTCTAAACTCTGAAGTCTAAACTAAATTAAAGTATCAATTTATCAATTTAAATACTTTGAGTTCTAAAGTATAAACTTCATTTTAAAATGCTATAAGTATTTAAATTGATAAATTGATAAAGTAACATAGCATTTATTTAATGTAAAGGCTGAGCTGCTCTGTATTAATTTGATTTGGTTTATGTTTAACAGCTAACACTCAAATCACATGAAGTATTAAATGAAGTTCACATTTTCAGAAATATATATTCATACATAGTTTTGGATAAACTACAACTGTATAAACTGATTTTTTTTAATTAATGTAGAGCATTAAAGAGGGTAATCGTACCTTTTGTAGTTGGAAGTACAATGGGCTAAAATATTAAGTTTTTGTTAGAGTTTTAATATTGTTATGGGTCACAGATTGTTACCTGGCAAATATTAATTTGGAAAATACCCAGAATGACTTCCAAAGATATTGATTTCTTTCAAATATTCAATAAACGGTCAAAGGCAAAAAAAAGAAGCAAAAATTAAGTATTAAAGGAACACTCATGGCGGAGCCGAAGAGCACCTTGGAATCTGTTAGGAAATGGGTCGTTGAGCACAAGCTTCGAACCGTTGGTTGTTTATGGTTAAGTGGAATAGCGGGCTCGATTGCGTACAATTGGTCACAACCTAATATGAAAACCAGCGTCAAGATCATTCATGCTAGGTTGCATGCTCAAGCACTCACACTTGCTGCTTTGTCGGGAGCTGCACTTGTCGAGTACTGTGATCACAAACCGGGTGCTAAGGCAGAGCGTGTTGCCAACTATCTCAAAGATTGAATCTTCAAAAATGCTCTTTGTACACACATATTTATACACATCTTGTACACACTATAAAAGGGCTTTATTTTTTTACCTCCATTCCATTTTTTTACCCTTTGTCTTCCCACTCCCTTCTCTAGTTCTCTCCCATCCCTTCTACGCCACATCCTTTCTCCGCTCACCCCCTCTCATCTCTTTCTTCTTTTTCCTTCCTTCTCATTTTACTTCGTTTCTCCCTTTCCAAATCCTAGAAATACACTTTTAGGTGGTGACCTGTCTTCAAGTTCGAGCCCATTCTCCTTTCCAAATCCTAGAAATACACTTTTAGGTGGTGACCTGTCTTCAAGTTCGAGCCCATCAGAATAGGTGCAGAAGGCGAGGATGAGACGGTCGATTTTTCCCATCAACCAGCCCATAAATTGAGGTAATAACCTATTCGATTTTTCTATATGCACTTTAGGGTTTTGTTTATTTAAAATATCTGATTTTTTGTGTATAATGTATGGTATAACACTGATTAGTTGAATATTTTGTATTATTGTAAGAGAATGTAGGGTTAACTATTGAATTTTAATTCAATTACTCTATTTCACATTTATGCTCGTAACATGTTTTAATCTCCTTTTTTGTGACTGACCCTCTTTAGTTAATTAGTTCAAGATTATAATTTTCTTGGTTCCCAATTTGAATAATGATATAGTTATTCTTATTGACTAGTTTATTTGCCTATTATACGTTTACTAGTTTTTTTTGCAGGTTGCACTTTGACAATTAGTAGAAGACTAAATTATTCTAAACATTCTGACCTTTAGGGAGGTAATCCATTACTCATGCTTTTCAAGATAAATCTTTGACTCAAAATTGCATTAGTATGGCTAGTGGGAGGTATATGAGCTTTATTCATGGAGATGGGCTCCAAGATGTAATTATCACTGATCAGTTTAGAGGAGAATGTGTTGATCTTAAATAACATTCATTGTGCTTGTTATACTGTTTTTTCTCAGAACTCTAAATGACAGAGAACACCATCGTACTCCGCTGGATGTAGTAATGGAAGTTCATTGTTCTAGGAAGTTGTCCTATGGGATTTTATATTTTAGTTGTAACTATTTATTATAAGTTTTACACTCTTTAAGTTGTCTAAGACTCTATTTTATATAGGGTTGGACTCGGGTCCGGGCCGGGTCCAGGTCGGGCCTAGGCCCGGGCGGGCCGGCGGGTCAGAAATGGTGGACCCGAGACCAGCCCGGGTAACCACCGGGTCCGGTCCGGGTCCGGGCCGGGCCGGGCCAAACCCATTATATATATTTTTTTTTTGTTTTCCTCTTCCTAATTAACCCCCCTCCCACCCCCAACCCCCCAAACCACCCCAAATGGCCCAAAATACCCAGCCCAACCCGAAAAGTTAAAAAAATTGAAAAAACAAAAAAAAAAAAAATTGGCCCGAACCGGCCCCGGCCGGGTCGGGCCTTGTTTTGGGTGACCCGAGCCCGGACCGGAAAACCCACGGGCCGGGCCTACCCGGACCAGTCACTGACCGGGCCACCGGGTCGGGCCGGGCCGGAACAGTGCCGGTTCCGGGTCGGGCCACCCGGCCCGAGTCCATCCCTAATTTTATACTCGTCAATTTAGGATGCAACAATTGAGCAGCTTCTCTCAATATTTCTTTCTCCAAGTGATTTTAGTTACTTCTGTTTTAAGTGAGAATGTATCAAAGGAAGGACACCTTCCAAATACTAATGTTATATGATCTCATTTGAAATATTTGAATGTCTTTCAGATCATTGTACTCCGAAATTTTTTTGTCTATGCGCAGATCAAATAAATGAACAAATAAACAATAAAATGATTCATAACCACACCCAAGCAAATCATGTGGACATCTCAGATATAATTACCAAATACATATTGATGGAAACGTCTTGGGATGCTAGTAGGAGTGGACTCGGGCCGGTTCGGGCCCGGTTCGGGCCTGGGCCCGGCCGGGCCTCGGTTCAAGAAGGGGAGGCCCGGAACCGGCCCGAGTAAACCCCGGGTCCGGGCCGGGCCGAGCCGGGCCTCGGGTATTTTTTTTTTTTTTGGGGCTTTTCCTAGTTAACCCCCACCCCTCCCCCTCACCCCCAAACCAACCCTAACCACCTCAAATGGCCCAAAATAACCAACCCAACCCAAAAACTCAAAAAAAATTCAAAAACAAAATTAAAATTGGCCCGGCCCGGGCCCGAACCGGCCGGGCCGGTTCACCTTTTGAAGGGCCCGAGCCCGAACCGAGAATCCACCGGGCCGGGTGGCCCGAACCGCCCAACGAACCGGTTCCCGGGCCGGTCCGGGCCGGGACAGTGGCGGGCCGGTCCGGTTCCGGGCCGGTTGGTCCGGCCCGAGTCCACCCCTAGATGCTAGTACTCTCTTTCTTGGACTTGGTCAACTTTGAAGGTGCCACCACACATCTCACCTGAACTGTCCACCCACGGCACAACTTTCAGTTCATCTCGCCCGAACTGTCCACCCACAAATGTTTCCGATCAATAAATACATATCTACCTATAAAATCTCATCATAAATAACCACAAGGAAGGAGGCATCATCATGTGTAAAACAACCTTGGATCAAGCATTGCACATGCAATCCGGGGCAGAGTATTCCATTCTAAATAGCATACACTAAGCTGCCAGCCTGCCATATAGTGTAAGAACCATATCCAACGACCACAATTAGGCTTCAAGAGTTCATAATTAGTGGCAAAGTACAGAAGTGCAATAATATATTAATGACAGTCACTCGTCAAGCATGATTTGGCGTCAATTTTATAAAGACATTTGGTTTATCACCACCGTTCTCATCACTGCAAAAATATATCCATTTATAAATGAGTAGCAAAAACATGCTTCAACCAAAAACTAGTAAACCAAAAAACCAACCTCACATAATCATTCATATAAACCAGCTTAAAACACTTGAAGACATAAACAAAAGGTTCACTAATCAAACTAAAGTCTATACAAACCTTTAGCACCTAAACATGTAAGAGTGTAAGACTGTCTTTTAGGACCCAAACATTCATTTGTAAACATTCCTTTCTATAGGTTGCTTCATCTTATTTGAAGCAAACTCCTACAAAAGAAGAACAAATCAACACTTCTAAGCACTTCTAAGCAAAGTACAAAGTTAAACATGTTATTAGTGCAAAAAACCAATATTCAATAAAGAATGTCAAGATCAGAATGACAAATCAAACAAGTTATAACAAGCATCCTAACAAATAATTAATAGAATGACAACTAGCAATACTAACCTCAAGTATTTTATATTATTTTATATAACTTGGACAGGTTAATGAACTTTTTAAAGTTTGATAAAGATGGTTCTACGAAGTTAACAGAAATAAATGCCAGAATATTTCATTGAAACTTTTTATCAAACACATTGTGGGCATGAGGGAAAAAATGAATTCTTCACCTAAAGTATTATGATGGACACCATGAATTTGAATAGTTAAGCAAAATATTCAGCTAGAAATCATTACAATATAAATTAAACATACATTTCAATCAAAAAAATACAATCAAAACCTAATTAAACATTAACAAAAAGAAGAGAGATTATTACCTTATGAGTTTAAGCTTGAGGAGCCATTAGCAATTGGGTGTAGGCCGTATGTAGGGGTTTCGTTGGTGGTTGAGGGGGTGTGCACAAGAAAGAAAAGAAACGAGTGAGAAGAAAAGAAATAGCGTGTAGACAGGGAGAAGAAAGAGAAAGGGTACATTTAGAGGAAAGGGGAATCGAAGAGAAAGGGTAAAAGGGAGGAAGGTAAAAAAATAAAATGCTTTTATAGCGTGTAGTGGTCTGTACATTTAGTGTGTACAAGAAGCAAAATGAATCTTTTACACTTCTGACAAGTTTGTTTAGGTTGTGCCTAGCTGTAGCTTAATAATTACCATCAGACATCGGTCCATCATCATACTTCCCTTCATCCGCAGGATCTACTGTTCTGCCTAACCCCTTGAGGTGTTATTGAAAGGAAGGCAGTTATTATTTTTTATAATCAAGTCTTTTCATTCAAAAAAAAAGGTCACAGATTGTTATGTCCCAAAAATTACAAAGCAAATACAGACTCTTTTCTTTAAAAACGAGTCGCAGCGCCACGGCGAAGGCGCAAGAATGGCATCGCCAGTTGTATATTCAGCGCCACAGCCTATTTTCATGGCGCAGAGGTGTTTAGCGTGCCTCATGGCGCACACGCCATATTGCGCCATCGACAATCATGCTCAAAACTAGTGGCCTATCTGGAAAATGATGTTGCTGAAAAGGAATAATTATTATTTCCAAATGCAAAATGCGTCTGAGCTGGGGCCACCGGCCACACCCCCAGGTTAATGGCAGATGCCGGGATGCTATCCATAATACAATGCATTCTTGGACCCCTGCACATACATAGCATAAGAGACAATAAGTCGTTTCACATTTTCACTCGATATCTTGAATTATAAAAACTAAAATATACTAATCCTAGTTTTAAAAATATTTATTCCAGCTGTTGCCCTGTTGGATTATCAAGATTTTAGTCTATAGGTTTTTATTCGTGTTGGATTTTCACCCATTATTTTTGGAAACCCAAGTTTAATGGGAGAAACCAACAGGATTACTATAATGGGCGAAACCAACAGGATTACTATAATGGGCGAAACAAAATTCTAACAATAAATAACGAAATCCTAAATTGGATTTATAATGGAAAGAATTTTAATTATTATTCTTCCCATATTTGTTAGTAAAGGTGATAGAGTACACAGGGGAAGAAAACGACCGTGCAGTGACAGTAGAGCAATAATAGAGTAAAAGCCAACGTCAAATACAGTTCTCCTAGCGTGGAAAAACAACGTACGCAGTCCCAAGGAAAGAGACAACACGTCTCCACTCCTCCCAGTCCCTATCCGAAGATCTAACTGCCTGCCTTCCGTTACTCTCCTTATTCTATTTAAAGTTCCCCCCCCCCCCCCACTATGAAAAGCAGTTACAATTATTTGAATGAAAATAACTATCAAACCGCTAATCTATTCCTTCTAGAGTAAACTTGACCATAGTATCTATCCTTCTTGATAGCTGCACACGTGTCTCTATCAATACTCCCCTCCTGCACATCCAACTTGCCCACAAGTTGAAAATCTGGAAATTGCTCTTTGATTGTCTGTTCTTCTTCCCAGGAGTTCTCAAATTCTGGAAGTCCCTGCCAATGTACCAGGAGTTCCCTCTTCCCTTTTGGATTCATTCTGACTTCTCTAATCTCTGCAGGTTGTACTCGTAGTTCACAATCTTCTGTAAGACAACTAGGAAGTTCTTGATAATGGACAGTAGGTTTCAACATCTTCTTAAGCAAGGAAATATGGAATTACAGGATGTATTCTACAATCACTAGGCAGCTTGAGTTTGAAAGCCACAGAGTTCAGCTTTTCTATGATTTCGTAAGGGCCATAAAATCTGGGGCTAAGTTTCTGATTGATCCTTCTTGCCAAACTCCTCATCTTGTAGGGTTGTATTTTCAGGAACACTTGATCTCCAACCCTCAATTCCACTTCCCTCCTGTGCTTGTCCGCTTGTTGTTTCATCAGATTCTGAGCTCTGGCCAGGTTCTCTTTTAATTCCTTCAGTATCTCATTTCTCTCAGCTGTCAGTCTAGACACCTCAGCTACAGCAGTTAAACTCACATCTCCTCTTATTATGGTAGGGGGGTCCTGTCCAAATAAGGCTTGGTAAGGAGTATTCTTGAGAGAGATATGGTAATTTGTGTTGTACCAAAACTCAGCCCAAGGTAACCACTTCACCCATTGCCTCGGTTTACTTCCAGTTACACACCTCAAGTAAGTTTCCAGACACTTGTTTACTACTTCAGTTTGACCATCACTCTGGGGATGGTATGCAGTACTATACCTCAACTGAGTCCCTGCCAATTTAAACAGCTCTGATACCAGAAATTGCTAAGAAAAATGCTATCCCTGTCACTGACAATAGACTTGGGAAATCCATGAATTCTGACTACCTCCTGGACAAAAACTTCAGCCACTTCCTTAGCATCAAATGGGTGTGACAAGGGCAGAAAATGGGCAAACTTAGTCAATCTATCCACAATCACTAATATAGTATCCTTCCCATAGGATTTAGGTAATCCGCCTATAAAATCCATGCTTATATCTGTCCAGATGTGTTCAGGAATTGGCAAAGGCTGCAATAATCCTGCAGGCTTAAGAGCCTGGTATTTATTTCTCTGGCAAGTGTCACAACTTTGTATGTAGTCCTTGATGTCGGATCTCATTCCAGGCCAAAAGAAAAGACTGGATATCCTTTTCATAGTCCTGAAGTGGCCTGAATGCCCCCCCACTGCTGAGTCGTGGTACTCCTTCAAGATGGTCAGGATCCTTCCAGATCCTTTTGGTAACATCAGCTTCCCTTTGTAATACAGCAACCCTCCTTTCATTTTGTAGTCCTTGTGTTGATCTGGCTGACTGAGTACCTTCTGTATGATATCCCCACATTTAGAATCAGCCTGCAACTCCTCTTCTAAACCCTTCCATTCCTGGCATGTAAATATGGATAAGGCAGAGAGATTGAAACTTCTGGAAAGAGCATCTGCTGCCTTGTTTTCACATCCCGGTTTATACTTAATGATGAAATTATACCCCATGAGCTTTGCGATCCACTTTTGTTGATCCTCCCCCATAATTTCTGCTCAGTTAAATATTTCAGGCTTCGTTGATCCGTGTGGATTTCAAAACTCCTTCCCAGTAAGTAAGGTCTCCATTTTTGTACGGCAAACACAATGGCCATCAATTCTTTCTCATAGACTGATTTATTTAAATGCTTAGGAGATAGCTCTTTACTCATATATGCAATAGGTCCCCCTTCCTGCATCAAAACAGCTCCCAACCCTTTTCCTGAGGCATCCGTCTCTACCACAAACAGTTTACTGAAATCTGGAATCCTGAGGACTGGTACAGAGATCATAGCAGTCTTCAAGTCTTCAAAAGCTTTATTGGTCAAATCATTCCATTTAAAACCATCTTTTTTCAAAAGGACTGTGAGTGGGGCAGCAATTTTACTATAATTTTTCACAAACCTCCTGTAATACCCAGTTAGGCCCAAAAAACCTCTCAGCCCTTTCAGATCTTTGGGAGCAGCCCAATTCTTCATAGCTTCAATTTTAGTGGGGTCAGCTGCTACTCCTTTTTCAGAGATGATATGGCCTAAATAATTCAATTCCCTTTGACCAAAGGAACATTTCTTTTGATTAGCCACCAATTCATTCCTTTTTAAAGCCTCCAAAATCTGCCTTAAATGTTCTTTATGTTCTTCCCTAGTTTTGCTGTAAACTAGAATATCATCAAAAAACACCAAAGCAATTTTTCTTAAGAATGGTCTCAAAACTTCATTCATTAAAGCCTGAAACGTTGAGGGAGCATTCGTCAACCCAAACGGCATTACCAAATACTCGTAATGTCCTTCGTGGGTCCTGAAGGCGGTTTTATGGGTATCGCATTCCTTCATTCTGATCTGATGATAACCTGATTTTAAATCCAATTTAGAAAAAATCCTAGCTCCACCCAATTCATCCAGCAGCTCTTCAATGACTGGAATTGGAAATTTGTCAGGCACAGTCACTTTATTTAGAGCCCTATAATCTCCACAAAACCTCCAACCTCCATCTTTCTTTCTAGCTAAAAGAACAGGACTACTGTATGGACTGTTACTATGTTTGATTATTCCAGATTTCAGCATTTCATCAATGATTCTCTCTATCTCATTCTTTTGATCAAAAGAATACCTGTAGGGTCTCAAATTTGGAATGTTGACCCCTTCCTTGATAGTTATAGCATGATCACAACCCCTGGCTGGAGGGAACTTCAGTTGAGCTGCAAAAACTTCTGGAAATTCTGCCACCACTCTGCCCCATTCCTCTTCTTCTCCCTTCTGTCCAGAGTCATTCATTTCTCCTTCACAGTACAATAAGAAACCATCCCCAGTTTGATGTAAAATTTGAGCCATGGTTTTCATTGAAACCTCCATATTGTTTAAGGTTGTTTCCCCCTTGATTATATAATCCTGTTCTTGTTTCCTCCACTTGATTACCTCCATGTTGCCCAGTTCAGTCAACCACTCCAAACCCAAAACCACATCAGTCCCACCAAGCTCTAACATGTAGAAGGTTTGCTGAATCATAGTCCCTTGCACTTCTCACTGCAGGCCCATACACTTCCCTCTATTGGTAATGAAATTTCCATTCCCAATTTGTACCTTATACCCTTGAATAGGTGTAAAAGGAATCTGCCACTTCTCAATCACACTCTGTGCTATAAAATTGTGGGTAGCCCCACTATCAATAAGAATATTCACCACCTTTTCACCACCTGCCCACTTCAGGACTCCCCTAACCTTGAAAGTTTTCATGGAGGTAATGCCTTCTTTACTCAAAACTGACAACTGCATCGTTTTGAGTTGCTGGTGGGCATCTTTATCTTCCTCCGGATCGACCAACTCTTCTCCAGATTCATTCTCACCTTCTGAATTTTCTACTAAAATCATCTTGTAGTTCTTCATTTTACACACATGCCCCCTATTCCAGTTCTCACCACATTTAAAACACAACCCCTTCTTACTTCTTTCCAACAGTTCACTTTGAGACAATCTGGGACCAGTTCTCTTCTGATTAGGTTGAATCCTCTCCTCAACAGATTTACCTTCACTAGCTCCCTTACCCGAAACTGCAGAGGTGTTTGGATTACTCTTCCATTTACTCCCATCCTTCCAATTCTGAAACGGCTGATCATTGTTGGACTTCCCTGGCCCTTTTTTCCTTCCCTCCTCTTTACTCTTCATGATGATTGCTTCAGTGTTTTTGTTTTCAATCAATGAAGCTGTATCCATGATCTCAGCAAGTGTTCTGGTAGAGTACAGTTTTAACTCAGCCCTTATATCACGTTTGAGTCCATTTAAAAATACCCCTCTCAGTACTTCTTCAGTCAGGTGCCCCTGTGAAGCCATAGCTACTTCAAATTTATCTCTGTAGTCTTTTACCGTCCCTTTCTGTTTCAAACTAAACAATGGTCCCAGCGGATTTTGTACCAACTCCGGCTGAAAACGCTTGTTCAGATCTCTGGTGAAAGTCTCCCAGTTCTGGTGTTGAGCTTGGCCTTCCCACCATTGAAACCAACTCAAGGCTTGATCTTCCAAAGCCACAACTGCCACATCTACCTTGTGTTCCTCCTCAGTATTGTTCAGACGAAAATATCTATTCATATGTACTAACCATCCAAAAGCGTCCTCGCCATTAAAAAGAGGTAAGTCAATTTTCCGACCTGCCGGTTGGCGATGTCCGCGATCACGTCGCGATGCAGATGGAGGAGAAGAACCGTCCGAACTTCCTGAACTATCAGCGTTCCTCGAACGTTGGTGATGAGTGGTGCGATGTGAAGTACTGGATCGTCGTGAGTGACTCCTCGTTTGCGTTGAGATTCGGTTCTGTAACTCTGCCAAATTGGCTTGCATCGTCGCTTGCATGGAGGCTTGCATCGTCGCCATATTTTCTGCCAAATTCGCCGTTAAATTGTGTTGCATCTCTCTCAGATTCCTCTCCATACTGGCTTGCATCTCCCGTTGATTCCGTTCAATCTCCGTCATGCGCCCTTCCATCTTCGCGCGCGTCAATATCATCCAGCGATCGACGTCGCTCTGATACCAATGATAGAGTACACAGGGGAAGAAAACGACCGTGCAGTGACAGTAGAGCAATAATAGAGTAAAAGCCAACGTCAAATACAGTTCTCCTAGCGTGGAAAAACAACGTACGCAGTCCCAAGGAAAGAGACAACACGTCTCCACTCCTCCCAGTCCCTATCCGAAGATCTAACTGCCTGCCTTCCGTTACTCTCCTTATTCTATTTAAAGTTCCCCCCCCCCCCCCACTATGAAAAGTAGGTTACAATTATTTGAATGAAAATAACTATCAAACCGCTAATCTATTCCTTCTAGAGTAAACTTGACCATAGTATCTATCCTTCTTGATAGCTGCACACGTGTCTCTATCAAAAGGTTTGTTAGTTAACAATATCAAAGATTAATGAAGAGTGGAGTTGCATATATATATATGGATTTTCTAAGGGATAATAGCTTAAACTTTTTAAATAATACCACCTATCATTGATATACTATTTGAATCATTTCACTAGTACCAACAATTCGAATACATAACAAAAAGTGATACGAGCCACTTTCTGACTACAAATCCAGCAATTTTGCTCATAGAAAACCTACAGTTGTTTGATATCAGGTTTTAATGGGTTAAAATTGGTTTTGAAATCAGAAAGTGCTTTCTTATCATTCTTGTTATGTATTCAAATAGTTGGTATCGTTTCAAATTAAATTCCCTTTTCTAAACAGATTCATGATGCATCTCACATCTATGCAGGTTTAGAGGTATACAGGATATACAAACAACAGAATAGTTCTATCTTTTATACAACAACATTCAAGCCTTAGTCCCAACAACAACAACAATGCTACTATCTCTTACTACGTATAATATTACAAAATTCTGTCTCGCCATATTTGTGTCTAAGAACAAACAATAATCACCTTCACACTGATAATATTTTTCGTTCACACTGACATGACAAAACTTTGTGTGTTTGAACAAATAAATCATGTTTGTGTGCAAGTTGTACAAAAATGGTTGTACATGCAACATAACTCTAAACTTAATGCCTCTGACCCTCAACTAATTGCGATTAAGGTGCTGATAAGTGATGATGAGATGTAGTATAAAACTGTACCTGGCGACCTGGCTCCAAGCACATTCAACGCATACGAAATGTGAGCTACTTCATGGTTTTCTACAGGTACCCTAGACGCAACTTGCTTGATGACCACAAGCAAACATGGCTACTTCATGGCTGCTTCATGGCTACTACATGTGTTCAACCCTCAAAGCAAACAGTTTTCAGAAACCAAACCAAAAGGCAAATGGCACTCACAGAGTGACACACTTTTACTTATTATTCAGTAATCAAGAATGACCAAAACTAGATTCACGTCTGATTAGTGAAGAATCAACTAATCTGCTCTATGGCTGTTGTCAAGGTCATTGACAAATTCATTTTCACTTGGTTCTTGAGAAGTTACATCAGTTTCATATTGCTTAAATAAATCAATACAAGAAGGATCATAAGCACTGACTATGTGCAAATACTTGGCAGCTTCATCTTTCCGGCCCACAATGTATAAGGCACTTGAGAATAATACCAATGCGTCATAGTAATGTGATTTTGTCCTTGGATCCTCTGGCTCCTTCATCAGAGCTACTTTCTCGAGGTGTGTAATGCCCTCTTCATACTTCCCCTCGCGTATACAAGTCACACCTGCCCATTGGGATGATAGGATCAAGTGATCGACATCCTCAACTTCTGCAGGGTGTCTATTTATGAGCAGCTCAGAAATACAACTTTTCAAGATTTCAGTGGCTTTTGATGAGAAACCATTTTGCAATTGTCCATGCATCAAAGCTCTGGCATAATCAGGATCCTTGGCAAGAGCAAGTCGCATCAGTTGAAGAGCCACATCTTTCTTACCTTCAGCGAAGAGCGAGGTTGCAATATTAACAAGCTCTTTGGCCGACAGATTTTGAGCAGGTATCTCCTGTGGAGAATCTACATTGCGCATGCACAATGTGCATTGTAAAACCAAATGAGCCAAATAAGCATTCTTTAGATACAAAATGAGTTTTATTATATTCAATTGAGCATTTCATATAATGAAGATGAAAAGAACAAAATATAAACACAAAGATATAAGCATTAACCTCCATAAGCCAAATGAACAGAACAAAAAAACATGGACACTAAGAAATGATCATACTATACATGCAATAGAAGCTGTTATTAAAAAAATGACAAAATACCTGGATGTGAAATTACATCTGGATTTATGACATAATTTGCCATCTCTTGAGATTCATTTGAAGTATTCATCACATCTTCCTTTGAGCAGTCTAGGTTGTTTTGTTTTGCCATTGCAGCAACTTCCTTATCTGGTAGTCCTAATTTCTTACGAACCACAGGATGCCTAAGAGAAATTTGCTGAAGGAGACTTGATATACTATTGAAAAGCCAGTACACTAAACTCCCCTGGGGCAAATTGAACGAAATGAACAGTATTGGGAGGGACAGAATCTCCAAGTATTGCTTGTAGTACTTGGCTAATAAAGCAAAAGGGCCACTGGTTTTCATAAGTGGTGAACTCTGAAAGGAAACCTGAACATTAGTGAAATGCAGTCCAGCAATCAGTAAGGGTAATATGGGGCCTAAAGTGCCATTTGGCACTTCAGTCAAATTCTGAAACCACAGAGTTCCTCCAACATCAAATCCATCATGATGCTCGAGTGACATTCTTCTTATAGTTGTAATCCATAACAAAAAGCAGGGAACTTGTAGAGAAAATGACGAGATGAACCATAAAAGTGAAGGGCAACCTGCTGCTTTCTTCTCTTTGAAGAAAAGTGTGAATTGGTCTGTGAATGTCCTTCGTGACATACGTGGAGGGAAAGGAGGAGGCAGCTTAGGTAGTAGCTCACCGATCCTGGCCAACTTGCGGAGTTGCAGTACTACAAGTGGAAATAGCGAAAGCCTCATTGCCAATGTTCCAGAAGCAATAACAACCCACCAAGGCAATCCCGTGAAGACGTGGTAGCCATCTAGCAATGAAGACAGAGCCCATACCGGAAGAATTGATTCTACCACTTCCCCGCCACAGGCTACGTCGCCTGGAAGAATCAGGTCAGCGGGAGAAGCAAGTTGAGTGTGGTTAAAGTCTCCATCTTCAAGCGGATATCCTTCGATAGAAGTGGATTTACGAGTTGAGAAAGAACGGGAGAATGAATGAACACCCAAAGGAACTAGAAATTGCTTTGATCCAGAAAACAAAGACAACACAGATGGGGACCGTACCGATGAGAGGAGAATATGGTGCTGCCACCTCTGGCAGTCATCGGATAAGGAAGCTGATATGGAAGGATACCGGCGGAGAAGCTTCCGGTTTAAGATCTTAGACAGTGCCATTTTTAGCTGGAACAAGGTTTTTGTTTAAATTGGTTGTGCCCTTCGCCAAATAAGGGAACGGCTCTGATATGTTCTCTCACTTTAACCCATCCCAGTTAACTAAAACAATTTTGCTTTGGATACACACTTATCATACACACACATACACACTATAAATAGCCTAAAAAATTACTATTTTTTTTACCCCCTCTCCTACCACACGTGCAAAACAGAGTCCTCAAAACAACCTCACCCTCCCTCCTCCCTTCCTGCTTCTTGCTTTCTTTCTTCTTCCCGCAACAGCACCCAACTGCACAATTGGTTTGTTCTTCTCTTCAAACCAATGGATTTTGGTGGTATTGTGAACGAAACCAGCATTGATACTACCGTGGACGACTTTTGGGCCGATTGGGATCAAACGATCGGTGGTTCTCGAGTTGAAGGACAAATTCCGGTGGCGGCGGAAGTTGATGGCGACTCGGCGGCGGCCGCCATGGACGACGTGTAACACCGACCCCGAGCATATTTACTTTTAGTAAATTATGTAATAAACCTTGAAGGATGATTTATGAATTTGCGTAATTGTAAATTTTTATTATTTCTTTTACGTAAATAGTAAATTGCATGTGGGGCCCACAGCGGGAACGGGGACCGCCTGATAATTCCCGAACCACATATTATATTCATCTTGGTCTAGATAATATGTATATGGTGGTGGATATTTTATTTGGGCCATAAGAAAGGCATGGAGTTGACCGGTTGGTCAAACGGGGCCCAATTACCGGTATTGGTAATTTAGCAGATAACAGCCCGAAATGAGTTTCGGGGACTCCTAAATTAATGTTGGGGAATGGGCATCTATTCTAAAGGCCCATAAGTATTAGGAACACGTGATGTATCTTATTTGGCCCGATAAAATAAATATGACTAAAATAGTCCGAAAAATACAACTTTCAGGGTCGATTGTACATACCGGGACATAATGGGATGACCTCCCACATAAGGGGGGGGGGGCACCCCACGTTTTTAGGTGCCCAGATTGACAAATTAAGGGGGAGGGGCGTGCATGAGGAAGCCTCATGGAGACAAAGCCTACACCCACCCATTAACTCCCTTGTCTTACTCCCTCAATTATCTCTCAAATTGATTGAGGAGAAGATATCCCCTCATTCCATTTCACCCGCACAAGCCTACCTCAAGAGAGAGAGGAAGCTCTGGAGTTGACTTCTACAAACCTCAGCCACAGTTGGAGGAAGCTAGGAGGAAGGAAACCCAAGAGAAACTAAGTTGAAAGAAAGGTAAGAATTCAAATAGTTCTTTTAACTAGTTTTTGGTGTATGATTTGTGAGAAATCATATGAGGGATTAAACATGATGTTCTACACATTTAAAAGTGTAGAATATTGATATAAAGTGGTGATATTTAACTTAGGAGAGTTGGTGAATCGATAGGAGTCGAAATCGCCGGAAACCGCCACTTTAAGGGAGCTGCTCGTTTCTGCAGAACACGAAAGCCGCCCGGCTTTCGTGAAAGCCGCCCGGCTTTCGTGAAAGCCGCCCGGATTTTGCCCAGCAGTTCAGTTCTACACCTTCAATCGGCCTAGAACGGGGATTGATCGAGGGGCTTAGCAAAGGCAACTATCTCAGCACTTCATAAGGTGAGGATGGCTAACTATATTGCTTATAATTAGTGGGTTAATTTCATAAGATTGCCTAAAGTAATTAGATGGGATTTTCATGGATTATTAACGATTAATAATGCCTAAATGAAAATAATATTGATATGAGTGAGTGAAGCATGATATACAAATTTAGAATAATTGTGTATGATTATGTGAAATGAATAGAACGACATGTTAATGAAATTACTATGATGACATTGTGGTAAAATATACTTTTACTTCATGTATGAAATTCATGAATGGTTAAAAGTGATAATTTTGATATTTGGATTAAATTATATTTGGATTGGAAAATCAATCGAGATGAATTAATTGGCTATGACTTAAGAACTTGGCGGTTCTAAGATTATCCGACTAGTGTTGGAATACTAGTCGGGAGATTAATATAAATAGATGATGGAATTATTCCTAAGAGATAGGATTGTAAATGAGTATGCCTTAAGTAGTCTTAAGAGATACTTTAAGGTTGAATTATATGAACACTAAGGTGCGATAGGGGTAGGCCTAAGGCTACCCAAGGGAATTGATTCTAGGCATAGGATTTGCTTGAGAATGTAATTATGAAAATAATTAGAGTTGGACTCTAGGATGACATGGAAATGTAGTTGGGCCGAGCCCATGCCATGTAATATGATTAGCATGGAAACGTAGTTGGGCCGAGCCCTTGCCATGTATATGTGACCTCCGTGGAAACATAGTTGGGCCGAGCCCTTGCCACGAAGTTATGGTTGGTATGGAAACATAGTTGGGCCGAGCCCTTGCCATACAAATTTTGATTTGATATATTGAGTATAGGATTGTATAGAAATGTAGTTGGGCCGAGCCCATGCTATACAATTGGGGCTCGATGGGACCCCACGGGGTTATCGTGACTTGCAGTCACGGGGGAATGGAAACGATGAATTCTAAATGAATATGGGCCTACGGGCCGACTACTTGACTTTATATAAGTTAGTACAGTTAAAGGAAAAAGGGGTAACCGAGGGTTATGGCCTATAATATAATAGTACCCTAGGTTGAGGGTCTCGAAAATTAAAACGTTGATTATACTTTGTATAGTTGCTATTGTACTTGTCAAATATTTCCAAGTACTGACCTCCCCTTCACGGAGGAGGCCACCTCACAGTTTCAGGTAGGACTTGAAGGTTGCTACCATCGCCCGGGGCTTCGGGAGGATCAAGGGGAGAAGACGTGGTTCATGCTTCTTCCGTTCTGTTTTAAAACAATTACGTTAATGCTCATGGATATTATTTTTGAATAATTACTTTGGGGGCTTGTATGCCGAGTTATGCCAAGTGTGGCTTGAACAATTTCCGCTGTTTTAAATGAATGATTTACATTATGCTTGTTTATGGATGTACTATGTGTGAATGGTATTCAAGACGCCTTGTATAGTATGGATGAGTTGGACTGCGGTTGACTATTCGTACTGTACGGCGGGTTGTTGACGTGTCCGGGTAGGTCCGGGGCGTGACAATTTAATTGGTATCAGAGACTTAGTCCGTAAACATCATAATGAAGCTTCAAAATTTCTTTTTGAAAATGAATTTGAAAACCATGAGCATAAGGTTTTGTACTTATAGAACTTTTGGTACTTGAGTTGCAATGTCTCTAATTGTTAAGATGGTACCCTTAACAATTGGTATGGCGGTGATTTGAGCCAAAGGATGTCTTTAAGTACTTATCCGTCAATTGACATTTGATACGAGTCTAATGACTCATTCTCAATTTCTTTCAGAAATGGAACGTACCGGGAAAGTGACTAGGAGAAACCCGACTGGCCAAGCACCGGGAGGATCCGTGAAAGGCAGTAGAGGGGCTTCTAGGGTGTCCAGAGGACAGGGCCGTGGAGGCCAAGATCAGACCGTGAGTGACAGTTATGTGGAAACAGTCAACGAGTCCTATGAATCCGAGGAGGATTCGACGTATCAACCGGGAACTGAGCCGGTTGAGACCCCATATGATGGAGAGTATGATGATGACAGTGAGGGGAGCGACGATGACGACGCTCTAGAAAGGATGGAGGAACTACTCCGTCAATTTCAACAGGATCGCCAAAGGCGCCGGGCAAGGCGTGCTTTGGGAGGGGCTTCAAGAAGGGGAAGCCATGCGGGTTCTAGGGGACATGTGGAGTCCCGAGTAGATCGAGGTGTCGAGGTCCCGATAATAAGGATCTCGAAGTACCTCAAGGAAGCAAGGGATCTGGGGTGTAAACCGTTCGATGGAACGGGAGATATATCCGTTGCGGCGGAGTGGATCAAGAGGTTCAATGAAGCGGCCCTTGATATGCAGCTGCCGCCAAACATGAAGATGAGAGTAGCAACGAGGTTGCTAGAAGGGATGGCGTCCACATGGTGGGACGGTATCAAGGGGAAGTACGGTGAGGCCGTAACTTGGGAGAATTTTCGACAGGAATTCTTCAACCAGTACTACTCCGACTTCGAGGTGAACTTGAAGAGGAGAGAATACACCAACTTGACCCAAGGAGGCAAGTATACTGTGAGGCAACTTGAGCACAAGTTCAGGGAGCTCGCGGAGTTCATACCGGAGTATGCTTGTGATGAGAATCGGATGGTGAATCACTTTTGGGATGCTTTAGACTTAGACGTGCGTGAACGGGCAACACAATTGCCTAACATGACGTTTAGTCAAGTGGTGGAGCAAGGCCTGAAAGGGGAGAAGGAATGGGAAGAAAGGAAGCTGAAAAACGCCGAGGAGGCGAAGAAGAGGAAATGGGAGAACACTGGCCCCCAAGGTTCTAGCAAGAAGGGGAACCACGGGGGAGGTGGGTCTTTCAGAACGCCCGCACCACCATCTAGGGGAAATCAAGGCCCAGGAGGGCAAGGCTCGAGGTCGCAAGGCTCGGGCATTAGCAGGTGCAATAACTGCAAGAGGAACCACACGGGCAAGTGCCGCGATCCCCCTAGGTGCTACCAATGCGGGGAAACGGGGCATTTGAGATCAAACTGCCCACAACTTGGGCGAGCCATGGGTGCAGGACCTAGCAGCGGGACCACGGCAAGTAGGAACCGAGCAGGGGCACTTCACGCGAGCACGGCGCACGGAGGGCCAAGTACAAGTAATGCGCCATCCGTGAACCAAGGCAAGACCCAGGCTAGGGTCTATGCGATGACGGAGGCGGACGCACGTGCTAACCCGGACTCCGTGGCGGGTAAAATCTTAAACTCATGTTATTAACTCCATTGTATGCAATAGGAGTGTGTGTAATGTGCAAAATTTGTAACCCCGACGGTTTGGTCGGGATTGTAGGGGAAAGGGGAGGAAAAATCCCCGCCCTGGGTGAATGCCGCCCGGCATTTGACGAAAGCCGCCCGGCTTTCGTCTTGGTTTATTGGGAAAATACTGCGGCGACGAATGTCGGCCGGTTTCCACCAAAAACCGTCCGACTTTTGTCAACATTTAATCAGGAAAATCCTCGCAACCAAAAACCGGCCGGCTTT